CTGGATTATTTGAAATCTACCATTGTTGGCTCCAGTTTAAGGAAAAAAAAATACTGTGTGGGCCAAACAAAACACATCAGCCAGCCAGATAGAGCCTGCAATCTACCAATTTGTGGCCTTTACTTCATGTTTTGCTTTTAGGAGGTGGGGTGTGAAGAGAGGAGACTGGAAGGTGTATTTGCTTGCTTGTTTGTTTGTTTGTTTTGGCTTTTTCCTATTTTGAAAGATCAGGCTCTGGAAGTTTTTTCTTTCATTTTCATGAACTCTGGGGCATGGGGACTTCAAAACAGAAACAGCCACCATCAGACATTCCGGCTCTCTCTCCATCCTGCGCCCAGGATCCAGCAAATAAGAAGCTAAATCCTAAGATTTAAAGAGGTTGGGTTTCTTCTCTCCCCTTCAGGCTGCTGCCAACTCACTGTCCTGTCTTTAGTGTTTGAAACACTCTGGTGATTTTGTTTATTGCTGTTTCCATATGGCGGAGCAAGATGGGGTGGGGGGAGGGGGAGTGAACACAGGCTTCACCTGCCTGTGGAAAGATGTTATCCTGTGTCAGGAAACAAGATGAAAAGCAAATACACCTAGAGATTCCCGAAAAGAAAGCAGATTCATTTCAGCCCCCAAGCCCAGGCAGTGGTGCGCAGAGCGCCTGTTGTCTTCTGAGTTTGTCTGGCACCGCCACCTGCTCAAGCTGCGATGAGCCTTTCGAGGTCGCTGCGCCTTTCCAAGGAGGCACTTCAAAGGGGCACAGAGCACTCTGCAGAGACCATCTCCCACAAGCACCCAGACTCCCAGCGGCAAGAGAACTTGCCAGCAGCACCCTGAAGCATGATGCCTGCAGTGCAATCCTTGGGATGAAAACCACTCAGGAAAAGCTAGGCTAGCAGGCAGCTGCTGCCTCTTCTGACCTGTCAGAGAGGGGTGAGCACTCAGAAACTCAAGGGGCTAAGAGCAAGGACAGGAAGGCCATCAGAATACAGATGGACGCTAAGGAAATGTCCTCAAGGCCTCTCTCCCAGTGCACTTTGATCAGCGCAGCCAGACCCCCATGGACGCAGCCCCACTTCCTAAGGAGCTGTGCTGAGCATTTCAGGACCCAGTTGTCCGTCTCCTTTGTGTGTCTCCATCAAGGCCACTCAAGCCACAAGTTTCAGTGAACTGACAGCAAAAGCGTTTCTCTCCACACCAGCTCAAACGGAGAGCAAAGGGTTTCCAAGGCTCCCCGCTGCTCTCCAGGACGCCCACGTGGCTTCCTCGCCCTCAGGCCCCAGCGAGACAGGCTGAATAGGCCTGTACCTGGGGGAAGTGAGAAGGGCGGGGCTTCGCAGGGAAGGCCACCAAGGAGTTAAGGGGTTTCTTTGAGGGACCCGGGGACCTCAGGACTGTGTGAACACTCCAAGTGCCCAGAAAGAAAAGAACAAAAGATCCCCTCCCCCACAACCCCTACCCAATCACCTGGGGGCCGACTGTCCTCTCAATCAGAAAGCCTCCATTTCTGGAATGATCATCTCTGGAAAAATAAGACAGACCCCTCAGAGAATGAGCCCCCTTAATGTTCCAAAAAAGGAAAAATTCGAAGAGAAAACAAGCAAAGAAGTATCGCTGCTCTTAAAGGTCTTTCCAAATTCTGAAAGAAGTTTTGCCAGAATTGTAGGGAGGAAGGTTTATAACAGCAAAAGTACCAAAGTTGTGGCAAGTAATAATACCTCATACTTACTGTGTGTCAGGTGCTGTTCTGAGTCCTTCAGATGCATGACATCTTTGTATCCCCGAAGCAGTGCTCTGTGGTAGGTACTTTTACAGCTTCCAATTTGCTAACAAGGAGACTGGAGCACAGAGAGGTTAAGTGACTTGCCCATGGTCACACAGCTAACACGTGGCAGAGCTGGTATTTGAAACCTAGACTATCTGAGCCTCTAAGCACCACTGTCTCTTGCAATTTAATGCTATAAATAATAAAACAAAGACATAAAAAGCATGTTCAAATTAACAAAGTATTCTCATTTTTTATTCACTTCAAAAAATATTTTTGTTTAGCACCCACCAACTGCAGGTCCCGGAGATACAATGGTGAGCAAGTGACCCCCAGGACCTGACCGCACCGTTCTCTCCTCCGGCGGCAGGCCGATCAAGCCAGCTGTTCCTAAAATTAAACCTGTAAGGGCAGCGGTAAGTGCTATAAACAAACAGACATAGGAGTCATTACTCTTGGAAATAAATATTACTTTCCTCTTTTTACAAGTAAGGAAACTGAGATTTCAAAGTAAAATGTAATATTGCAAAAAGAACATGCAGACTTTCAAATTTTATTTATTTTTTGAGTAGCTGCTCTATACATCCACGTCATTTGACATTCAAAACATCCCAAAGGGCATATGGGAAAAGTCCCCTCTACGCCCCTCAATCCCAGCCTCCCGACTTCCCATCCAGAGGCAATTGGTACTGGGTCTCCCACCTCTTGGGTCTCCTGCCAGAGACACGCATAAGTCATCCAGTATGCCCACATTTTCTTTCCCCACACAAGTTATGGCATAATAAACACTGTTCCGCTCTGCAGGGTGTTTCTCTAACAAATAAACACACATGGAGCTGCCTCGTTTTCCGGTGCCTGCAGGGCACTTCACGGCACGGATGTCCAACTCCTGCTGCACCCAGTTGCCCACCGATGGTCACTCAGGCAATTTCCAAGCTGGCACAAACACTGTAGGGACCCACTAAATAGGCAAGCCAGTTCACACGCATGTGAGTGTGTCTGCATGATAACCTCCCGGAAGTGGAATTACTAGCTACATGGCCTTGTGCATTTGTGATTTTCACAGATAATAACCATATTTTCCACCCCTGAGATGTCCCCAATTTGCACTCACCCAGCAGTGGGAGGGCATGCCTGCTTCACCAAACTGCAACACAAAGAAAGCACACTGATTGGAGAATGGCCCAGGGCCCCCTTCCTCCCCCGCATCGACTGTGGGCCAACTGAAGGCCTCTCAATCTGTCAAGGACCTCATGGGAGAGGCACCCCGCCTCCGCCTGCTCCCAGGGCATCCAACACTCAGCCCTCTAGAGCCAAGGAGGGAGGTTTGGGAGCTCCCAAAAAAAGAAGCTCAGAAGAGATACTCCCAAGGCCCAAATAGGGCCAGGGGCACAGAACCACAGACTACAGGCCACCTCACAGCAGACACCAGTAAAATGGCCCAGGCTGTGTAGCCAGACAGACCACAGCACAAGCCGCAAGGCCCTAGGCGAGCTGCATACTTCCTTCTGGGGAACGCCTAGAAGACCGATTTCTAAAGCATCAATGCAGTCTGCTCCCAGACTACATCCTCGTGGGCAGACAAAGTGTGCCAGATCCACAACAGCCAGTTTTGCGTTCTAGCTCATTTAGACAAGAAATGTAAAGAAAACTAAATGTCACAGCCAGGGTGCAGTAGCACCCGAGACAAATTAAGGGAAGATACGGAGCTCGGAACAGACTCTCACTTGAGAGGAGGAAACTAGAAATGGGTTGAAAGTTTGTACGGCAAACTGCAAAACCAAAGCAGAGAGAGGAGAGGGAAAGGATAAAGATAATGATGTGGTGGCTATGGTCTAAGCCGTGCCCGTACCTGTGGGCCAGTGCTCTGGCCGACTGCCACCCGCCAGCACCATCTGTGCCTGAGGGCTCTCTCAAAGCTGCAGAAGATGTGCAGGCACTTGAGGAATCAGCACCCACCAGCTCTCAACCAACCACTGACAATTGCAGTATTAATACCTCAGCTCCCTCCCCCCACCAATGGGATAATTCTCTATCACAGCCCACATTTCCCACAGAATTGAGCTCCAGCTGCCCAGGGTGCGAGCTGGCTCCATAATCCCATTTCCTTGGCTGCCTGCCTGCTCATTTCTCATTTCCCTCACCTCCTTCCAGTGCATCTCAAGATTTGTTTCTGGGGGAACCTAAACTACATAATCGAACATTTCTGCGTGCCAGGAACCAAGCCAGAGACTTTACATACATTGTGCAGATCTGGAATAGCATCTCTCATGAAAGGAGAGCCCATGCAGAGAGGGAAAGGCCAGGCCTCTCTATAAACAAAGGTCCAAGGTGACAAAGGGAAGAATAATCCAACTCTGAGGCCAAGCCAGGTGAACCGAATGTGACTGAGCAGATCTTTTTCAGGTCATGCTTTCTCTGACCAGAAAACAAGGCCAATGGAGGGAGAACTGGGCTTCCAAAGCCTACAAGTGCAGGCCCACTGTCTGGGGCTCTGTGCCCTTGCAAGGTACACAGTCCCTGGAGATACTGTTTCCCCAAAATGGATAGGGTTTAGTGTGCCCAACTTATGCAAATCTGCCCCTTGCTCCAGAGCTGGCTTGAATTCACCATGACAGGTTACGAGGAGAAAAATAAAAAAAGCCTTTTCACCTCTTCCAGGAAAGGCAGAAGTGAACTCTATAGTTAAGTTTGGGATCTTTAGTGTCTCACTGATGACTCTCTCAGCTCTCGCAAGCACAAGAAGGCACAGAAAACCACTGGCTCAGCCAGGAGCTATAATTGCTGCTGTCCTTCTAAGCAGGAGGAAAACAGGCCATGATTTGTGGCTTCTTGCAACAAAAGCCCCATTCCTTAATGAGGTTTATTTAATTTAGGGCAGTAGAAAACTTTTGGGTTATTATTAGGCTACAAATTAAGGCTTGTGTTCATTTAACTGCCCCACTTAACAAAGGAAACTCTGCTTTTGTAAATTAAAGAATTATTTTTAAGTGTTAAAGGCCACTGGATAACCTTGAACAAAGCCTCAAATGTGCTCAAGTCCTGGTGCCCAATCTGTAAACTCGGCAGAGACTGGGCAAACAGCCCCCAAGGCTTTGTCCAGCTCCAGCAGTCTACAGTTCTGTTTACCTCACACCCATCCCTCCACAGAGGTTCCTTCAAAATCCATATTCCCAGATACATTAACTGGAAAAAGCACAATATAAAACAGTGCTATAAAATACAATGCCATTTTTACCTTTATTTTTTTTAAGAGTTTATTTACTTTTACAGAGAAGGGACAAGAAGAAACATCCATCAGTTGCCTCTTACACAGTGCCCCAAGCAGGGATCGGACTCTCGACCACGGCATGTGCCCTGACTGGGAATTGAACCAGTGACCTTTTGTTTTGTGGGATGATGCTCAACCAAGTGAGCCACGCTGGTCAGGGCAGAAAATACTAGTTATAGTTTTAAAAACAAGGTGGGCATAAGAATGTGTTTCTGAATTTTTTGTATATGCATCAGAAACTGTGGAAGTGGGTGTTAGACAGTACTCACCTGTGGGAGAATGTGACAGGTACCGAGCAGTCGGGGTAACCTGCTGCATACTTCTCCATGCAGTGACTGTATTATCTATTCAAATAATTAAACCAAAAGAAAATGAAACCAATTTTAAAATCCACATCTTAATTGTATCTCTTCTTACTAACCCTCAGGGTCTTTGGATACCGTTGGGGACCACGCATCTCCTGCCTACTCAGGATCCCCCAAGCTCCCCCACAGAGGGCCCGATCCCGTCTATGGACTAAGAAGTTCAAAGAAGACAGCAATCTTCCCTCTGCTACCCATGAAAAGATCAAGAAAGATAATCACCTTGATCAGTCCCATGTGTTAAGGTGCCGTGCATCACCCAACGTCTTCTCCTGGCCGAGTTAACACCACCAGCTGTCACCTTAGGAGGAAGTTCATGGGTTCTGGAGAGGGCCAGCCAGCATTAGGAAGGCTTTAAAACCCATATTCATAAAAAATATGATAGGAAAATTCATCTTTGAGTTTCATGGCCAACAAAATCTACAATGTCCCTTTTATGGATGCTTTTCACATTCTCTGCTGAGTGGTGAGAGTTGACCTGGGAGAATGTGGGGCTGAGCATCCTCCTGAATGGAAAGAAGAGGTGGTCATGGTGCCTCTCCAGAAAGGGTCTCCCAGGCCCCACTCCTCAGCCCCTCTCAATGGCTGAGAAACCTTCTACTGTAGCTCTCACCCCCAAGAAGAATTTCTTTGCAGCATTACCATTTCAGGCAGCTCCTGGTACCGCCCAACATCTGACCATTAGCCCTGGTCTCTGCCCTTCCTTCTGGGCCTCAATGCAGGCCTCTGCAGGCATCAGCCTGGCCCTGCCCAGGTCAAGCCTCCTCTGTGAGCCGGCTTCTTTCTGCTGTTCTCTGACGGCCCTGTACAGATGCTATCTCTTCCTGTATGGACTGTGCCTGCACAGTAAACAAACCTCATGGCACAGATCCAAAAAGCAATCATTCCACAAAGTTATCACTGGCTCCTTGGAAGGAAAAGGGACCCAGGTCCTGCCCTGGCCGCTCTTTCCTCCCAAGCTTCCTGGCTTCTTGGTGAACTTGCAGCATTTTTTCAAAATACTTCTTGCTCTGTTCAAATTGCAAAGGATGAACACATTTGCACACTGAATGAAGTTCAAGACAACCCATTTCCTCCAAGCATTGCCCCATGTCTTGGGTAAAAATGAAACTTTACCTCTTGCCTCTTTCTGAAGCCCACTGGCTCCTATCTTTCAAAGAAGAAGCCGAGGTAGGCAGACGGATGCTCTGGGGTTGTCCAGGTGTCCTAATCAGGGCTCCCTAACAGGCAGGAACCCCAGCATGGCTGTCATTCTCCAGAAGAATGAGTGGGGGGGGGGGTCAAGAGCCATGAATGGCTCCCAAGGACCCAGGGTGATACTGGTGATCCTGGTCTCTTTCAACTGACCCCTGGGGATCAGCTTAGACTTTGGCACTGAGAGGGACCCTAGAAACCACTCAGTGAGGGGCTCAGTGTGGACTCCTGTTTGCTAAAGATGTCCCGTGTGGGGACAGGTTGACAGCAATTTGGACAACAGCTGGTATTCGGGAAGGGGACTAAAGGCCCTCCATGGCTGCATCAACCTAAGCACCTCCCTGGTTAATTGCTTTATGCTTCAGGCTTTTGTATAATGGCTACTGTTTTTGAGCACTTACTGCACGCCAACAACTGTGTGTAGCTCTACCTCCTGACTTCCTCCAACCAATCTACGTGCAGGAGTTATCACCCAGCGGGTGAAGGCTCTGAGGCTCGGGTGGCTGTGACTCACCATGGCTAGTGTAGGAGGGTGCTGGCTGGGGACCTCCCTCAGGCTGCATACTCCAGGTCCCAAGCCCCTAACCACCAGGCCTCACTGCACAAGCTGTCAAAAGAATGCTCTGTAGCTCCACAAGTAAGTCAAACCCACTGCTCAAGGAAATGCAAATCAAAATCACAACAAGAGACCACTTCACTCCCATTAGAATGGCTATTTTAAAAAAAGGAAAAGAAAAGAAGAGAAGATCACAAGTTGGTGAGGACGTGGGGAAACTGGAACTCTCCTGCACTGTCTCAGGGAATGCGTTGTGAAAGGCCACCCCTTCCACGCAAGCCCTTCTCCTGCCCAGAAGCAAATCCATCTCCACTTTGGCTCTCTGGCACCATCTCGTGTTATTCTGGAAATAGCCACAAAGTTTTCAAGAACAACTGTTTTTGAAAATCTATTGCAGAAGAATTTCTGCAAAATTATCTAATATAATAATATCTTAATAATAATAATTATTATAATCTAGAAGAAAAGCAACTTAACCCATTGCTCTAGCAGCAAGGAGTCCAGGCTTTTTCCTGAACATATTCATAAATATTTCAAAAATAACCTTAAGTGTAGAAGTTGGTTGTACTCATCTTGCCTTTGGCATTGTCTTTGACAGAGAAACCATCTGTGAGATGAAAGGGAAGACATGTTTTGTGTTTAAAGTTTTACCAGACCCAGACGAGGATCAGTGTAAGTAAAACATATCATAAACCTGTCTTAACGCACAGCAAGTGGGTGCAACATAAACGGCTGCAAGCAGAACTGTCCCACTGATGCAGATACAAATGCAGCACAGGGACACCCCATGTTGCTAATGACCAAGCCTGTACCTACGGATCTACTGGTCTATGGGGTCGGTTATGTTGCTAAAGCCAAACTGTTATCTCAAAGGGGAGGAAGAGGGAATAAATTATACATAATTGTGAAGAGAAATCAACCATTTGGTTAATTTAATAAACCCAGTATCACGATTTTAAGCACCAGCACTTCATAAGTTTTCACTGGGCTTTTCTTGTTCTTGTGGAATCCCAAACAAATCTTCCCTGACCCCACACAGAAACGAAGACATGGAAGCTGCTCCTGGCAAGCTACGCCTCAGGTTATGTGAGCCACTGAGAGGGCCTTAAAACAGCCGCTCTCCCCACAGGGGCCCTGAGCTGCAGGGAGACTCTCAGGACTCAGACATGGGCATTGTTCTGGAAATCCAGTCCTGTTTTCCACTGTCCTGCTCCACATAGAGCCTGACGGAGCTCAAACAAAACAGGAGCAACAGGACCCTGGGAAAGGAAAGGAAGCTGGGCCTTTCACGTCTACCGCCGATCTCTACACCAAAGGATTAATTTATAAAAGCCAAGCCTTACGAGGTGGAGTAGAGCAAGTCTCAGAAGCAAAACATAATACTTCCCTAGCGAGAAACAAAGCAGGTAGAGGCCTCATTAAAAAAAAAGAAAAGAAAAGAAAAAAATGTCTTTCAATACATAACACATTTCCTAAAATAAAATACACATGGTGCCATTTCTGAAGTAAAGGAGTCAGGCTTCGAGGTCAGAGGGCCCTGAGCTGAAACCTGCCTGTGTGATCTGTGCAGCTTCAGCAGCAGCTCTGGGCTCCCGGGTCCTCATCCTGACATCGAGGTTAATACCTGGTTATACTGAGGTTAATACTTGCCCCAGGAGACTGAAATGAGTATAAGTGATACACCTGAGGATACAGCCTGGCCCAACCAAGTGTTCAGTAAATGGCAGAGGCCGTCTTCATGATAGTAATGACAATGACAATCCTACAGTTAACACTCCTCCCAGACCACCATCCCCCTAGACACAAACCTGCCCCTTCCTCTAACTGGCAGTCTCATTCACTAATGACAATAGCTAATGAGCACTTACTATGTGCCCAGTACTGTACATTAAACTATTTTATTTAATTCACAGGGGACCCATGGGTAGCTATAGTTGACATACCCCTTTATAGGTAAGGAAAGAGGTCCAGAGAGCTTGGATAACATACTAAACAGGGTAAGTTAACTGCTATCACAAACACACCAACATCTCAGTGACTCAGTGTAGTAAAGGCCACCTGTCCTCCACATCCTTGTTGGCAGAGGGCATGAAAGAACAGACTCGCTCCAGCCGTCATTCAGGGACCCAGACTCCTTCCATATTGTGACTCTCCCACCTCCAGTGCCAAAGTCCCCTGGGTCCTCTGCAGCTAAGCTAGCAGGTGAGGAGGAGAGGGTGAGGATATACCCATGACTCTTACTTCAACCCCAAGTGACATGCGGTGCTTCCGCTCCTACTCTGCTAGTTTAGTCTCTTGGCTCTGAATGCAAGGGGCTGGGAAATACTGGTGATCTCAGGAAGAACAGAATAATGGAGATAGACACTGGCAAGCAACAATAGCTTCTACAATGAACCTGCCTAAGGTCACCCAGGAAGCACTCATCGAAGTGAGACTCGGACCCAGGCAGTCTAAGTCCAGGCTCTGATTGAACCACTGTCATCCAGGCAGACACTCTGAAGATTGTAAAACAAAGCCACATAAACTTTTTACCTTTCTCCTAATCAAGACGTGGGGTCAAGGTTGAATCTGGGCTCTGTTAGTCCTTGACCAATAGACTTCAGAAGAAATGACACTATGTCCAGGCTCTTAAGACACCAGTGGCTTGTATCTCTGATTTCTTGAGATACTCGCTTTGGAATCCAGTGTCCGTGCTGTGAAGAAGCCCAAGCTAGTCTACTCAGAGAGTCCACGTGGAGCAGCCATTGCTGGAGAGGCCCAGTCATCGTCCCGTGTCACCCGCCAGACATGGGAGTGGGGTGCTTCCAGATGATTCCAGCCCCTGCAGTCAAGTCGCCCCCAGCCTTCAGGCTTCCCAGCTGATGCCCAGACATCGAGGAGCAGAGACATCATCACGGCTGTGTGCAGTCTGAATTTCTGACCCCCACGACCAGTGAGCAGAAGGAAATAGTTTATGCCACAAGTTTCATATGCAGCAGTAGCAAACAGAAAAGGAACTTATTTAAGAATTTCATGCCACTTAGATCCTGTTACTTTGGGGAGGGGGTGAACCTGAAAGTCTCTTTATACCATCCTCTTTATTTTCTTTCTTGCACTATTTGATATTTTCCAAATTTCCCACAATAAAAATGTATAACTTTTACCATCAGGAAGAAAATAAAGTTTAATGATTCACTCTCTGCTAGTCACTAAACCCCAGTGACTTCTATGTGATCTTGTCCCTCGACTTTGCTAGGAAAATGAGACTCCTCAATCTACACAGTGAAGCTGGTGGCTCTGCAGATCCCAGAGGTTCCTGATGCTTGTTCCAGAAAGGAGCAATCCCATGACACTGGTCACCCCCAACTGTCTGCTCTGAAGCACAGCCAGCTTCTGAACTAGGAGAGGATGAGCAGGGACCCGGGTCTCTCACAAGGTCCCAGGGATGGCTCAGCCCTACATGCACCCAGAAAGATCACTAGGAAGGGGGCTGAGATTATGGAGGAAACAGGCCTCAGACATCCTTTGCTCATACTGTTTCCCCTAAATGGTACCCTTCCCAGGAACTGAAGTTTAACGTAAAAAGTTCTATTTCAAATGTTTTAGTCTGAAAGAAAAACTATTAGCTTGAACCACATGAAACTGCTGACATTCAGTCATGTCTGATCAAACAAAAAAAATAGCAATTTTGTATGGCTCAAAAAGACATTTTTGAGCCCTTACTAAGTGTTGGGGACTAGGCTAGACAAACATTGTCCCATTTAAACCTGCAGACCTCCTAAGAAGGGTATTTCCATGCCCGTTTCACAGAGAAGGAGCACACTGTGAGAGGTTAGGGGACATACTGGATGAGAACTTGAACGTCGGTCATCTGGTCATAAACATACAAATGTGAAAAAGAGATCAGGAGAACAAGCCGCTCCCCTTCCAGAAAAGGTGACCATCGTCTGCGCTGAGCAGGCCTGACTGATTGGTGAGGGAGTGAAAGTGCTTCGGGCAGTGTCACCAGGGAGTTCCCAATAGACAGACCACTGAATGTTCTACCTGTGCCTGCGTCGGTGAAGGATTGGTGGGGACATTTCAGGACCAGCCACAGCACAGACGTCAGAACTGCTTTCACGGTGCCTCTACCAGGGCCTCCCTGCAGTGGGATCAAAGACCCACTGATTATAAGCAATCACGCAGTATTGCAAATGAGTTCCCAAGCCCGGCTGTTTGACTACAAATGCATGAAACCTGGGCATATAAAGTTTCCTGTTACATGTTTTTTAATTAAAAGAGATGTTCGATTCCCCCATAGGCTAGTTATTTGGGGCCAGCCCGAGTACTGATATGTTCTTTATTTGGGCAGGAAATACCGCCCAAATCCTAAAATCTGATGACATAAATGGACAAGCAGTTTCTTAGGTCTCATGTGCTTACTCTCTAGTACTGAAATTTTTCAGCTTTTATTTGTAAAGCATTAAAATAACTATATTATCAAACGAAGTTTGCAGTGTCCCAAATTGAAAAAAAAAATGTGACAGTATAGCTTATGTGGCTGAATGTTATGAGGCCAGAGACTAACCGGTTCCGCGTCCTTCTCCTTCCCCTCGGACTTCCTGGGATCCTCAGGGGACCCTTAGGACTCCATGGGACACAATGCCCTCTTCAAAATTAATCTGCATTTTCAAGATCCAACAGTGGAGGGCAGCAGACTGAACCTCAGCTGAACTCTAGATTCATTTCTCTATTTGTACTCAGGATGACAAAGATTCCTGTTGCAAACTTCATTTTTAAAGAACCCATTTTCAGATCACAGTGTTTAACTCTTTTGGAAATACAGGCCTCCATTAAATTTGTAATGTGTCCTGCACAATTAAGCAATTTACGAACACCATACTTAAGTTAGATCCAGCTTCTGCAAACCTCACACCAAAAAACAGCTAAAATAATAATATTCCACAAGAAGGCCACACACTTTGGCCTTAATGAGAACAAAACATAAATAAGCTTAGGTAGCAATAAAAAACATAATAAAATAATTGTCTTACATCTTTAAACATAATGAAACCATCTCATTAAGCCTAAATTAATTTAAAGGTCATCAATGCATAATTTATGTAGGCTTATAAAGCTGCATTCCATAAATGATGATTAAACCAATATGCCCTTCCTTTTTTTTTTTTAATCTCTACCCATTAACTCTATAGACACTGGTGCATTTTAGGTAATAGTAACAAGTTTAAAAGACACCATGTTCTCCTGAGGCTATCTCTGATTAAAATAACCCAGACCACACAGAAACCTAATTCACCACCATTTTATCAAATTCCAGTGCTGCGTACGTCCCAGGATACCTAGGATATTGCCAAATTTTAAGACAAATGACCAGCACTGCAAGGAAAGAGTGACAGGAAAGACTCCGCAGGAGTGAAGAGACACAGTCCAAGATAAAATACACCAGGTTCCCAATGTAGCTGGGAGCTGCCCTGGATGTACACTTTCAGTCCTGGGGAGCTGAGCCAGATGCATCCCTAGGGACAAAGAGACACTGGTGCGTTCGGCATCATCTCTTCCAGGCCCTGGGAACACCAGTGCATACAAAACACACACAATCCCTGCCTTCATGAAACTTACATCCTTGTACAGGAAGACAGTCAATGAACACGCTGGTTTTGAGCAGTATGGAGATCAGGTCCATCGGTGGAGATGGTAGAAAGACTGTAAGAGTAGGAAGGGGTGTAGGAATTTGTGGTTTTAAGTGGGTTGCCAAGGCCTATTCCAGGAAGAGAGAAGAAAAGGGGGAAAGGCCTTGAGGCAAAGAATCGGAAGAGGGTGAGTTTGGCAGGAATAGGGTGAGTTTGGCAAGAAGAGAGTGATTAAAATGAAAAATAATTGGATACCAAGTCAGAGAGAAAAGACAGAGTGGGGATGGGCACACTGGAGGACGACACAGCCGTCTGCAAGGATACGGGCTTTCATTCTGGGGGAGATGGGCTGCCAGTGACTTGCAAGGAAAGGAGTAGCATCACCAGACTTAACAGCATGAGACTGCATGAGTCAAGGGTATAAAGAAGTATGTTGCAAAAATACAGGCAAGAAATAATATTAGCTTGGTAATAGCACAGTGACTTTTATCTGTCTATTCCTCTCGATGATCACAAAACTAATTTCAGGACTTTTTATAAAATGCAGCTGTGTGAAGGCACTGTAAACTGACCAGAAGCAGGCAGAAAAGGAAGAGGCATGAAGCATTACCTATTAAATTCTGAGCAGAAGGGTGGTAAGCAAATATTCCAGTCATTCAATTCACTGGAATCTGAACATAGACAGCCTGACTCCGGAGCCTATGTCCTTATGCATTATACTATATTGTCAAATTTCGAGACAACTGACAAATCAGAAGAAAAAAATTTTTAAAGCCACATCACAAAGTGCTCCTTTTCCTACTATATTGAGTTCTCCCTGAGAATAAGGCCGACAACCCAAGAGAAAAATAGACAAAGCACATGAATAGCTAGTTCACTAAAATTAAATACGTACAAGGAAAATGCAGGTTTAACTTCATTGAGATACCATTTCTCACCTACCAGACTGGCAAAACCCCAAAAGTTAGACGCAACACTCTGAGCCTATGGGGAAACTGCCTCACATACAATGTTGGGAGGAATGCGAATCAGTACGAGATCTGTGGATGGTGATTTCAAATGACAAATCCTTACAACCAGCAATTCTATATCAGGAAATTATCCTGCAGATAACTCACACATGCAAAATGGCATTAATGTAAGGCTAGTCAATGCTACCTTTGTGACAGCAAAGTCCTGGAAACAACCTTAAAGGCCACCAGTGGGAACTGGTTGAACACCTTTGGCACATCCATATAATAAAAGATGTTGCACTTTAAAAAGATCGAGGAAGTGCTTTATGGATCAATATAAGACAATTTACAGATGTAGTAAGGAAAAAAGCAAGGTGCATAACACATTTATGATATATTAATCTTTTGTGTATGTTATATATTCTTTTGTGTAAAAAAAAGGAAGGAACTATATCTTGGATAGGCATACAAAATGCCTTCAGGGCAAAATAGAAAGTGAGAAAATGGGGGGAGGAAAAGGATAGAAAGGAGACTTTCCCATGAAACTTTCGCATTTTTGAGGCTTGAACCGCATTATTTCTATTACTTCTTGAATTTAACAAATTATTTTTTAAAGAAAAGCCTTTTAGGGGCGGGGTCATTTTTGGACTCTGGCTCCAAGACGACAACTGAAATGAGATCCTCTTCGTGAACCCATCAGAGCTAAAAAGACAAAAGGGATGGCAGAGATCCCCACGGGCACTAGGAGGCTCTTCCTTTCAGACCCACTCATAGAGTTCCCATTGCCTTCCCCCATTATGCTCCTGAGGCTCATTCAGAGCTAAGACTCAAGCGCCAGTGACATCTGGCAACATAGGTAACCGTGGGCAACCGGGCTTCTCCCATGGTTGTCATAGCAACCATGATGTTCCTACAGTTGGGTTTTCATCCTGAAGTAATTATCAGGCCTTGTGGTGGGCTCTTCCACATTTGCAATTATTTACAACACTGACAATTATGAATGAGCCTAAATTAGATGCAATTTCCACTGAACTGTTAAAGAGAAGCTGTGGATTGAGTCAGATTTACATATCCTCCCATCAAGACTGGGAAACCTTTTGAGTTGCATGCCTGGTGCAGTTCAGGGATGGGGTTACATCTGCGTGCAGCCATCAGAAGCCAGTGGATGGTGGAAGACCTGCCATGTTTCAGCCCAAGATGGGCAGTCCTTTCTCTACCAGCCTTACACCCCAGTCCCACCACAAGCAATAGGAGCAGACCCAGCAGTTTCTTGGGTTCAACCCAGGAGGTCCTTGAATAATGACATTCTTTTCAATGTCATTTGGTAATATTGCTAATGAGACGCCGTGGGAACGTAATTCGTTTGTATCAATTAGCCTATGGGAAAACTGATGTCGTCATCGTACAGCATTTTGCTTAAAGCCACAGAAGCTACTGACAATGTTAAATGAGGACTGACTGTATATAAAACAAAAGTGTGTGAGTTATCAGAACTTAGTGCAACAGTCTTACCCAATTAGCCTCACTTTACACTGGAAAAACCTCGAGCCACCCAAAGCACCTCCCCTGGAAAGGGATGGCACCAGGGTTCAGAACCACATCTCAGGGCTTCTTCCACTTCTGCTACCTCACTTAAGGGCCAAGAATGAAATTTTTCTTTGTATCTGGAAAGTGGCACTGAGCTTCATGAAGTCCATGTGCCTTAGTGCCACAACATTAGGGCATCGAAGTGCCAGGACATTACAAATGACTCACAGAATCTGGGCTTGTGTTAGGTGCTTTTTGGAAGAACTCAAGGAAGCGGGGCTTTGCTCTGAGTTAGATGATGTCAGGAAGCCTGCACTTGAACATCCTCTGGAAAGAACAGTGTATACAGTCTAGGCTTCGTCCTTAAATTAATTTAAGTGGGGCTTTTTCAGGCCACTGAGTACTGCATAAATCTGATAACTCACTCCGTTGATAAGATTCAGTTATTAAAAAAAACCCTAGTGTAGTCAAAGAATCAGATCCACAGTTACTCTTTACTTAGAATCAAGAGAATGAACCAACCACGTTTAATTTAATTTAGCTCTTCCTTACTCATGTATCCCCTTCTGTGCCAGAAATATAGTGAGGGATCGCTAAAGGACCCCACAAGAATGGGCCCAGGGGTGTGACAACATCAGTCACCACTAGATGGCAGTAACAGTGCTAAGTAATTGGTTGTTAAGATGGGTTCTACTCAGAACTGAACACTTTCTGTTTCTCAGTATTGACTCATTCATTCATTCATTCAACAAATATTTATTCAATGCCTGCTATGTGCCTGGCACCACAGTTAGGATACAAGGATCAGCAGAGGAAGACACCCAGTCTCTGTCCGTGTGGTCTGGACCTTATGGTCTGGGGTGATGAAATGGACAAAGAATCACACCAATAAAATGTTCCTTATTAAGTGCTGTGAGAGTGCACAAGGGAGAACTCTTCTCCTAGAGAGAGGGAAGCGTCCCTGAGAAAGAGATGAGCAAAAAAGGAAGGAGCCAAGGTCTGGGAAATAACAGGAGATGGGAGGTGATAGGAGGGGGAAAGAGAGCTCAGGCAAAGGATCCCAGACAAGTAGGAGGAAGCCTGCACAATTATGTGTCTGCATCCCAAAAAGTAGGGACCAGTGGCCTCAGGAGCTTTGTTCCATTCTTTTGGGGATTTGGGTCTAGACCCACAGTGCAATAAGAGGTCACTGAGGTTTTTTAAGCCCTTCAGGGGAGAGAGCTGATGGCTAGATTTGATTTGCACTTTGACAGGGCCACTGGGCTCCCCTCTGGCATTTTGACTGAAGGGAGCCAAGTGGAGGTGGGGAGACCGGGTTAGAGAACTATCATTGGAGTCAATGGGAGAAGAAGGGGTCTTGGATCAGGGTCAGGGCAATGGAGAAGGGAAAGGCCTGAGCGATAAGGAAAAGGCACTGGCTAGGGGTAGTGCCAGAGATGGCTCCCAAGTATCTCCTCAGACGGGACAGCAGAAGAAAAGGAAACTGCACAGGGGAAGGGACTTGAAATGGAGATTGGGTAAGTCACTTTGAAGGGTTTTTGAGGCATCCAGGTGGACACGCCCAGAAGATAAAGAAATATCTGAGTCTACAGTTTGAAAATAGAACCATGTCAGTCAGCTGGGCAGGGATAAGACCGCCAGCCAGTGAAGAGCGGAGAAAGAAGCAAGGCCACCACAAGACCAATAGCTTGGGCCCTGAAATCCAGCAACTGATCCCCTAGACACGAGCTAAAGGAAGCATTAGGAATCTAACTAGGGACAGAGCTTAGAGAGAAAGCATAAAAAGAACAAAAACTAGAAGATAATACAATTAAAAGCACGCGATTCAGTTCCCTTCCAGGCAAGTTGCTCTCATTCCTTCCATCACCTTTTTTTCCTTCCATCACCCGGTCCCTTCCGTGGCTGCTTAAACATTTGGGCCCAAAAACCTGAGCGCCAGCATTCCCGACACCTTATCACACCACAGCCTTCGAGTTAATATGTTTTGCAAAGAGAGAAACTTAGCCTGGTAGGGTCAGATGCTCTGAAGGATGATCCTTAACATTGGAGACATCTCCCTTGTCTGTTCCTGTTTCAAACAGTTAAGACAAACTTCGCTGAACTACTTTTTTTTTTTAATGGAGGCAAGAGACACACAGACTGGGTTCAAATCCTGACTCCCTCCTTTATAAACTGAGGACCTTGGGCAATTATTTACTTCTCTGGTTTCCCTAACTTAAAAATAGGGGTGCTCTGCAACTCTCATATGAAGAGAAAAATGATAAAAGTGGCCAAATGTTAGCAATTCGGTGCATCTCAAGAAGAACGCCGGCCCCACCATCTGTATTTGTAACAAGCCCCCTGAGGCTACAGATTTGCGGGGTCATTTGAGAGACCCACGGTTGTGTGGGGAATTTAATGACCAAGATTCAACGTAGATTCTACCACTGGAGCAAATAATCCGGGCTTTGATTTTCTTTTTAAAAACCCAATTTCCATCCCACAGAGAGTGGTGCAAGGTGAGTAAGATAAACCACGTGCACGGACCTTTAACGTGACAGACACTCAGGAAATGCAAAGTAGAGGAGACCTGCAGAGGGTAGAAAGGCGGGGGTGGGCCCTGGATTGCGTCCCCATCCCCACCCCTGGGGACAGCTGCGTCGTTACGTGCTCGGGGCCTGGGTCAGAACACCGAAGTTGGGGGCTCCTGGTTGAAAGACCTGACGCGCCAATCACCCATACCAAAATCCCTCAATACAAGTGTGATGCGTTTAATGTTTAAAGTGCGCGTAATGATGCAAGTGACTCACACCGAACACAACTGAATACGCAGGGGCACTGCACAAGGAAACCTGGGCTGCGGCGCCAAAGTCGAACGGCAGGGCGGCGAGGACGTGCAGCAAAGCGGAAACGAAATGGCGGAAGAGTGGCCGAGTCCAGAAGCGGCCGGCCGCCAGGGGGCAGCCGTGCGTCTGTAGGCCACGGCCGGCTTGAACCGGCCTGACCGGAAGTTGGGGCGGGACCTGAGCTTCCGTAGCGGCTTGTCACGTGGCCGGCCGAGAAGAAAACAACAAGATGGCGGTGGCACCAGCGAAGGGTGTGGTTTGCTAGCCTCTTTCATGCCGGCGGGTCCCTTAGAGGGCGGATAGCAGAGGGCAGGGCTGAACGAGCAGAATGGCATGTTGGAGACCTGCTGCGCCGTTACTTTGCTCAGCTTTGGAGGCCACCCGGCGGCTCCTGGGCAGAGGAGCAGACAGTCGCACGTGCGAAGTGGGGCAGGCCCTGGGCACCCCGAAGGTTTCCCGCGGCGCGTTCTCCAGGATCCGCCGGTTTTCTTTTAGGTGCCCATTGTCTTTTGACCCAACGATTGCTGCTCCTTGTAAACTATAACCAAGAAGGCGGAAATGCCTTCCTCTGGGCGTTTTCTCGCTGAGGGAGAGATAAGGTGCTGCAGATAGTGCTGGGCGAGTCCATTCGGATTAAAATGTGTTTTCTCCTGTTTTTTTGTTTTGTTTTGTTTTTCAGTTTCATGTACAATTTCCAGTTTTTGTTTAAAAGGTTAGACCAGCCTCCCTGCAGATGGAGAAATATATATCCCTGAGTGATTTTAGGGCTTAAAGTGGCTTCCCCGCCCTGCCTAAGTGTGGTTAAAATTCGTTTGATTTGTACCCAGGAGTTGCTCTAGGACAAAAGGTGTGGCAAAGTATGAAGGTCTATCATTTTACATCACCACCTGGGTTGTTTATTCAAAAAATAAAATGCAGATGGTGATAACTTGCGTACTAGGTGATAACTTGTGTATTATGTAATGCAGGAAATCAGAAAGGAAGCAAAGGCACTTGGTGTGCATGGTATTTAGATAAAGGCCCAAAGCTTCCCCTTCAGGTCCTTGCACCGAGCCCTTCAGTTTCTGCCTGAGCAACTGCCCTGGATTAATTTTCATTCCTTCTCTCCGCTTTATTTTACTGAGTTTGGGATGTAAAAGAGCCAGTGTGGGTAAAAATAGCACAAGCCCTTCGGCTTGTGATGGTATATTTAGCATAAAGGAGTCATTTGTCCTCGGTTTTATTTATAAATTTGTCCCCTTAGAATTGGGGTTAGATTTTCACTGTTACTTGTGAGACCATTGGAAAGCCTCTGAAATATGTGACTTTTTAAAATTTTAGTAATACAATTTGCTTCCCAAAGTTTGCAAGGGTTAATTAATAGCATTTCTGACGCTACAGTGAAAGCTCAGGAAAGATATTACTTTATAAGTGGTTCATCAATCTAGTTAAGATTTTAATACTTGGGCTCTAATAAAATACTGCTAATAAATACTGCTATTAAGGGACAAACTAGAAGGGGTACAATGTGATCAGGACAGGGGTTGGGGGGGGAAGGCCCAGGCTTTCATTTTAAGACTTTACAGATTTTTGACCCAAGCAGAAGTTTGAGAAAATTCCTCGTCAGCCACTCCTTTTTTTATCCATGCCTTCACAGGTTTCACTTTAAAGTCCATCGGTTGGCAAAGAAAGGCTGGACTATGTTTCAAACCCCTTCTTCCCTCAGCCGGGGAAAAGAAAGCACTTTGCATCTTCGCAATTCCTGAAAAGAAGAAGGCTGCATCATTTTGTCCGTGTTTTTTTGCAGTGATTACCCCTTTTTTTGTCTCCTTTAGTACACAGGATTCAGATAGAATCTTGGGCAACTTTTTCTGTAAATGTGCCTGATAGAAGCACAAGATTTAAAGAGCATCCTCAGAGCTTAAGTTGTTTGCCTCCACAATTTCATTACCACTCCTTCCTGATAAAAGGAGGAAATGTATTTTAAATGTTAAAATATTTTATTTAGCAAATTTAATTTTTTAAACGAGAAAAATAGTGAAAAAATACAGTACTCCAGTAATTCAGGTACTTGTCCTTGAAGGCATAGATTAAAGTGTTTTTTAGAGAGACTATATTGCATATACAATTTTGTACCTTTACTGACCCTTTTTTTTTTTCCCCAAAGATTTTCATTTATTTTTAGAGAGAGTGGAAGAGTGGGAGAAGGAGAGAAACGTTTCCCCAACCTGGAACCTGGCCTGCAACCCAGGCATGTGCCACGACCGGAAAATGAACTGGCAACCTTTTGGTTTGCAGACTGGCGCTCTACCCACTGAGCCACACTAGCCATTTTTAAAGTGAATTGTTTTCGTTCATATTACCTAAAGCAAATTAATGCTTAACTTAAATATACAAAATGGAGACGCGAAGAAAAAAATCACGCCACTATCGAATAACCAATATTTAGCAAATTGTATTTGTCTTAATACTGTACCTAGTTTTGCAACACAGTTTGTATTTAGCCATGTATAATGTGTATTTTCTTATGTCAAATAACAATCTTCATAATTTTTAGAGCCTGCAGGATACTCTTATGATTATAAAAAAGTAACCGTTAGTCATGCTCTTACTTTTGGACCAAATTTGACATTTTTTTAATCTTATAAGTAATGTTGGCATGAATACTTCTATATGAAAAGCTTTCACATATTTACATAAAGTAAGATTTACAATGAATCTGAACTTTTTAATGCATATTAAAAAGTTCACTGATTCATATTTGACTTCCCAAATTGTTGGGTTAATGTTGTTCCATCTAGAGTCTTCTAATTACTATGCATCAGCATTCCACCTGAGTTCAAATTTCATTTCTACTCGTTTGATTATCCTCACTCTTCTTTTTTTTTTCCTATCACCATTTATTCCGCCTTTTCCCACCTCCACCCATCCTCCTCCTTCCTGTGTTCACTCTTCTAAACTTAATTCTTTTAAGTTATAAATAATATATCCTTTTTAAAAAAGATTTTATTTATTTTTAGAGAGAGGGGAAGAAAGGGAGAGAAACATCGATTGTTTGCCTCTTGCAACGCCCCCACCAGGGACCTTGCCCACAACCCAGGCATGTGCTCTGACAGGGAATCAATCCAGCAACCTTTTGGTTTGCGGGGTGAAGCCCAACCCACTGAGCCACACCAGTCAAAGCTAAATCATATGATCTTTGTGTGTTTTGATACAGATGTGTGTCTAACAAGCACCAGACATGGCTATCTAACTTCAAGTAAAATATTTAAAAGGAATCCTTTCACTGTCAACCTATTACAATACAGAAACCCCTTAACTACTTCATTTCTGTATATAGATGTGGTTCAAGAGAAATTAATTGCTGAAGTTATTCCAATGTGCAGTAAATACATAAATTTTGTAATTCTCCAAAATTACCTAATGTAAATGAATATTGTTTTTTGGGCTAAAGACCTCTACACATTACATATTTACATATCATTTTATTAGCAATTTTCTATTGTTTTGTTGTGGATATTCTGCTAGACCCTTTATTCACAGGGACAGGAAAGACAGGTCTGTTTAAAGCAAGGTAGTTGAGCAATTCTAAGGTTTCTCCTCTATATTAATGTAATGATACTTTGATACTCTTTACCAGGAAACCACTGTACAATCTAATCTAAAATTGAATTCTTTGCCACAGTCTTTCCTTTGCTCTCTAAAAGTGGTTTATAGAATATCAAGAGGTAAAGAGGAATAAGACAAATTCATGAATAATAGAAAAATACGATTAGAGGCCCTTGCATGATGGTCATACAATCAGTTCAGAGGATGTGACCCCCTTTCTTGGGGTAATATCCGTTCTGATCCCCCGGCCCCTATATTTTAAACAACTCTAGTTTCTCTTTAAATGAAATCCTTTTTAATTACTATATTTAGAATAAGATGCATTCCACTAAGAGAACACAGTTTTAAAATATTCAAAAGGATTTGATGCATTAAAAGCTACAATTTTTGGCAATCACTATTATTCTCCATTAGTCTTCCTTTTGGCAACAACAGCCAAGTGCAGAGGCCAGTTGCTAGAGTCTAATTCTACAGATGTATAATATACAACATGGGAGGATTTTTTTATCCATGTCAGCACTGCATCTGAGATTAAAATCAGTTATCAGAGACTGATTGATTCACTGTAATCCTTTCAAAACAGCTCTAGATTTTTTTGTTTTATCATTAAGATTTCAGAGCTGATACTAAGACACCAAATGGATGGATATTTTTAAATGTACTTCTTCTGAGGGTCAATTGACTTAGAACAGCTTTTGCAAGCTACATAGCTCTTAGAAACCTGTCTCCTAGGAGCTGAAGTGTAAAATCTGCTACTGAATAAATGAAGAAGGGGGAGAGAATGGGAGGAGGAAGAAGAAAAACATTTTTTTCTCAATATTTAAAAATTGTTTAAACTTGAAAACATCCAGATTCCACTCAGTGCCAGCATGAAAGGAAAAGGGCTTGCAAGTTGTAGGCATGTTCCACAGGGCTCTCCAGGCCTCTGCCTCACTGTAGTCTCCCCCAAATGTCCCTCTCTCCCCATGTCAAATAGCCCCCAAGTCCTGCTCCTCATTCTTTCAAGATCCCATGAAGAAGTGGGGCACAGAAGTCAGAGGAAGCCAGAGTTGGGTTCCAGATCCATTATTTGCAAACTGGTGTGACCTTGGGAAGGTTAACATCTCTGGGCTTCAATTTCCTTCCCCCAATTTGGGAATATTTCTTTCTTTCTTATGAGGATACGACAGCTTAGCAAAATGCCTGGCACAGATAAACTCTCAGTTGGTGATAGTGATTATGAACCCTCTGCTTGCTCAAACCACCTTCTGCATGTGGTTCCTCATGCTCTCTGCCTAGTCACTTTCAAACAGGTCTCCAGTTCTGCAGCCTCACCTGAGCTGTTTGCTGTCCCTTGTACCATGTTCCCTTTACACATGCTCTTTCTTTGCTCTCTTATCTGCCTGGTAAATGACTCTTTAATCAGGATGCAACTCAAGCCTCACTATCATGACAAGTGTAAATTAATATAAATTCTCTGCGAAGGAGGATTTGTACAAAAACTAGCAAAAATTAAACACAGCATACTGATTCAGGAATTCTGCTTCTAGGAATGTATCCTATCAATGTCCTTACACAGGGGCAAAAAGGGGATGTGTACAGAGATACTGTCTGTAATAATAAAAGATGTGCAGTCCTACATGTCCAATGGAGCACCAGTATAAAAAAATTTGATTTATCCCTACAATGAAATATGGAACTATTAAAAAGAACTAAGAAAAATAAATTTAAAATAAATAATAAATTATTAGCTCTTCATGTACGGATT